TTTTTTTTTCTTTCTGGCATATCTAGTGGTTGACTATCTATCCTCGTATCCTGAATCATTTATTCCAAGCTCTCAAATTTTTAATGATAATACAAGGTTATGAGAAAAAAAGGGATTTCAATTCATTAGTTTTTTAAGTACTTAGGCAGAGGGTTTAACTGTTCCATGTATGATGGCAATCATTGGTGCGTGGGCTTGCAATGTATCCAACTCTGGGGCTCCTTTTTTTTTTCCCTTTCAAATTTTACATACTCCTTTTAGCTTATTCTAGCATTTGATTTGTGTATATGCGTCTTAAATGATAAATTTCTAAGGTCGACCACATCAGACAGTCTTCTGGTTTCCATTCAAGAGAAGATAAAATGGGCAGATAACATGGCTGAGATGGACAAGAAGCACAGGGAGGAAATAGATGAGAGGGTGGAAGAAGTGAGGAAGACACTGTCCTTGAAGGTCAGTTAAAGTGAACCTTTTTTGTTGTAAACGAAATGCTTTGATTTTGCTATCCCAGCAGCATACAATCATATACATTTGTTCTATGTATAGTAGTTACTACATAAATGAGTATTTGAATATGTATTCCAGGGATGGAGTTTTTCTTGTTCTCATGAATTTATTTGAGTGTTTTACCTCAATACCGTCAAAGGTACTGTAAGGTTCTCGGGTTTGGTGACTACTTCCCATGGGTACTTTGTCAAATTTTCCATCCTTAATTCACCACCAAAGCTAGTTGAAAGACGAGTAATTTTTTTTTATTTTTTATTTTTATTTTTTTTGAAACATAATATTTCTAAGAATGGTTGTTTTATGGATGAGATTGACTCGTAATGTGATATATTTATTTTCTAGAGATCCTTTATTTCTTTTCTATTTTATATTATTACATTTGTTCAAAACAAAACGGCAGACTTATTATGGTCGAGTCTCTATATAAGTTGAGTATGTTCACTAATCAGGTTTATCTTTTGTGGAAAACCTGAAGTACTATTGAATCGATATATTGATTATTATAATTTTTTTTTTTCTGATTCGTTTTAACCTTTACTCTGATATTAATCTATTAAGTTACGAACGTATATATACATACACATAGAATTTGTATGTTGGTCGATGTTGTCTTACTTACGTTGTGGCAGAAGTTAAAAACTTTGGGCAGGTCGACATTGACTTGCGAGGGCATGAGGAGCTCTTTTCTGAACATGGTGGAGTGATGGACTTTGACCAAGACCGTAATCGACCCAAAAGGTATCTGAGATACAATGAATATTATGTCATGTTCTTATATTATAGTATATTGTTCGTACAGAGTGTTACTATTGGCATTATTAGTTGGAGTATTATTGTTAGGTTAATATTGAGGAAAAAAAAAATCAGGCGGGAGATGCCGATAACAATAGTTTTCAAGGTGTATTTCAGAAAAAGATCGAGTTAGCTTTTAGAATTTGAAATACCCCCCTTCGAAGTAACAAGTACTATTTCAAGATTTGTATAAATCGAAGAGTTACTCCTTTTCGGAGGATGAAAATTATGAGAATGAAAATGTTGAGGAGGTCTCAGTAATTTAAAGAGTACCATAGCTGGATGTGATTGATGATTTGAAAAATACCCATAAAAGAAAATACACACAAACAGTGGCATGTTAAAGCGAAAAACAAATTATGGAAAATCACTGCTTATGAAGAGTTTCTGTAACGATGCTAAATCTAAAGGTGTTTATTTTAGTTATCCAACTCTCTTATTTCTTCTTTCTCCTTCTTTTTTGTTTTTTTATGTTTTTTTGTTGTTATTTTTTTATTTTGAATAATGTGTAGGAGACGACACCCCATGGGCTGAAGATATGTAATGAAGGAAGATAATGTAGGATTGAAGTGTTCAAGCAACGGGACACACTTTTTAAGGTGGGGGAGCGAGCCTGTGCGCTTAACTTGTTAGCCAATCAAAGGCCAAGTTGACAGCATTAGCTTCTTTTATGTGACTGTATTTTGATTGAGGGTTGATGAGGACCAGATTAAAATCGTGTTATATGGTAACGATACATCAGAAAATGTTTTAGTAACCCTTGTGCTTGTGATGAATGTGTTTCGAAATCTTTTGGTTCAGTTACCAATTACTTGTACCGACTTTCTTTTCGTACGTTGTTTTTACGCATTACCTCTTTTTCTTGTATGTAGCGGCTTTTATGGGTTGATTGTGTGGTAAGCTTTTGGGCACTTGCATTTACATTTTATGAGGCAGTATTGAAAGTGGTGTGATTGAGTTGCTGATGAAATAAAACGTGTTTTGGTTAATAATGCATATATTAGTTATTTGTAGCTTGCTTTGCCCTCGTTTTTAGGTTCCGTAAAAGCTGCAGGGCGCTCTAGTTGTAACTTGAGTTGCAACTAAAGTTATACACGAAATGAGCCGTTCGTGAGTTCAATTAAACTTGAATTCGATTTGTTAAAGAGTCGAATTCAACTCTGATAATAATAATAAAAAAAAGTTTGAGCTCCTTTAGTTAACGAGTCGAGCATGGCTAGACTCGACTCATTAAAGGCCTGAGTTGAAGCTCAAGTATCTCGTTTACACACCTAGTTGTGACTGCTCATAGGGTGAAAGGAGAGATGATTTTGTAGCTTGTTTTGTACAATAATTTCAGTAATCCACATGAATAACATATGGTACCAAAGAAGATAACAAAATTCCAAATCTATACAAAAAACAATTATTGCAGTAATCCACATGAATAACATATGTACCAAAGAATATGACAAGTTCCAAATCTATACAAAAAAATAAAGGAAAAAAAAGAATGTTAACTCATAAATTTCTCAACTTTAATAAGGCGCTATATGTGCAGGTTGAACTCCGAGAAAAGCTTTTCAATACCTCCTCTTCAATTTTTATAGAAAAAGAAAATTCCTGTTTTTTATGAATTAAATGTTGAACTTGACTCGCAGACCTTGTCTCTCCCGATTTTTCGTGCTCTCCCGGTTGGTATCTTTCAAAATCGAGCCCTTCTTCAAAGGTTGTTGGTTATCCAAAAGCCGATTAGAATCCGCCATATCTGGTCTCTGAATTGGTTGTATGTACTGTACATTGAAGCTGTCCATCTCTTCCTTCATTCTCGGGTTGTCGATGAGAACTCCATAGTCATCCTACATTGGTACAACACAGTTATTTATCACGATAACTCGAGATCAGCATGTTTCCGTAGTCATCCTACATTGATACAACACAGTTGTTTATTACGATAACTCGAGATCGGCATGTTTTTCATTTAGTCGACTTTAAAGTGACAAAGATAGCCAAATGCAAAACTTCTCACAAACTTTTTCGGAAGCAAGTTACATACAATAGAAATGATTATACTCCTACGTGGACTTGTCCCATTCTCCATCTCATAATTCAACATTTAAGAAAAATGGAAGTTTTCCGATCTTTATGTTGAACCATGAAAGAGTTGACAGCAATGGCAAAACAAGATAATGAAAGATGATTAGGCGAAAGCAAAGAAGCAATGAGGAAAACAAAAAAGAAAAAAAGAAAAAGATAACTCACATTTTCAGCTGGATCTGCAAAACAAACACAATCCATTCGGTCATTAGCATCACACGAAATCTCTAGACATCTTTTAACTGCACTTTCCGGCACAAGAAACTCACTCGACTCATACTCTGCTATAAGCTGGGACACGACATAAGCACCCACAGATGTTCCCTCCATACCACCTTCTTCATCACTCGTGTAATCGGCGCAAGTAAACTTTTCAGAACTGTCTTTTATTATCTTGTCAACTCTACTCTTCAACCAATCAACTCGAGACTGTAAAAGATCAGCCTTCTGAAACATTTCCTCCACAAAATTATCGTCACCTTCATTCTCACCACATGACAGGTCACCGTTCATGTCCAAAAAATCGTCATCTATGTCGACTTTCTTGGTGGCTTTTGCTGCAAAATACAAGAATCATTAATATGAATGCACAAAATCCCATTTTGGCCAGAACTTGGTAACACGTGTGATATTAACATTTCATTAGAAGGACAAATTTGATTTCCTGCCGGCCAAATGTTTCAAAATGAAGAAAAAAGAGCATAAGAAACCTGTAAATCAAGAAAGAGATACAAAAATTGCCCTTTGATTTTGGTCTAGTTACAAAATCGAAAGAAAAACATAGAAAAAATCGGGAAGAGAGAGAGAGCGAGAGAAAGAGAGACAGTAATCTTTTAAGATAACAGAAACCGCTTCGACTTTTCAAAATTTAGAGGGATATTTGCATTAATAAAGATATAATTTTTTTGGGGATTGAATTAGGCTAAACCAGGTCGGGGTTTGCAATGAATCTTCAGCAGTAAATAATACTACATAATCAAAGATATTCAATATGTATGATTTCTCACCAAGACTCTTCAAGTGAGCATCATTATCTCTGTTCTCTGCAAAATACCACATGTCAAATCCTTAACCGGGAAAATAACAACTATAGTAAGAGAGCTAATGATAAAATGTATGGTACCAAAATAAGAAAAAAGGTAATGACTGGACATATATGCTGCTAAATCCTCTGCTTCCTCCTTCCGTTTTCTTTTCTTCCTCATGAAGATCTCACTTCCAAAACAATCCTTCGAAAAAGGAATGGATTTTGCTAAGTCGAAATCTTGCACCATAAATTTCTCTAACCCCATTTTACGCTGACTGTAGTTTTCGAGTTCTCTATCATATCTTCGTGCTTGTGCCTCTAACTTCTTTATTTGCAGCTCAACCCATCTACACCGCAACATTAGAGGCTTGATAAAGGCTTTCCAGTGATTTGTAAGCCTTCTCTTCCTAATTATCACCAAACAAAAAAAAAAAGTAAAAATAAAAATTGCATAAAAAAAAAAAAATAAATAAATCTGAACGCAACGATAAGCATGAATAAGAGCTTCAATTTCTTTTCTTGATATATCAATGCACAACAATTTATATACCACATCCTAAGAAACTATCCACGAACAAGAATGCTCTGTGTACCAATTTAAAGGTACTGATATTCCTATATTTTAATTCGATATAATTATGAAAAAAAAAAAGAGAGAGTAGGGAAAAGGAATATATACCTCATGCTGAAAATTCCACCAAATCCATCAAAATTACTGGACAAAACATCAGGCTCTAGCAGGGGATCAAAATCATCAGCTTCATAATCAGAGTCACCAAATGAACTCGAGCTTTCAATTGTATCCACGCAATCTGCTTCAGTTCTCTCATTGCCCCCATTGAATTCCAAACGCCCGATTATGTCGGCTTCCGCATCAGATTCTGCGTGGATTTCATCAGCCTGCTCGACTGAGACGGGGTCCACTTCACTCTCTTCGTAACTCATCGTATATTTCATAAGCTCTTCCTCGAGTTCTCGACCAAGAATCGAGTTATCCTTATATTTTGATGCGACCATACTCTTGGATTTTAAAAGGTTTTTGCCAAATGCAGTGAAATCAGTTTAATTCAAGAACGCCTGCGTGAAACGGGACCGTTTGTAATTACGAACCCCTTTACATTCTTACATAAGAAATCCAGAAATCACATCGACATAAAACAACAGCAAGAAAGAAAACGAACACGATTTCTTTTAGAATTTGCAAATACACCCTGAATCAGATAAAGCCAAGAGAAACAAACAAAGCAAAGGGGGGGTCCCTTTCGATTTTTCGGGTGTCAATTCATTGCTCAAAATTCAATCTTGGATAGTTTTCAAAGCACAATAAAGCAAACACGATATATTGAAACATAAATCGAAGCATAAAGCAACAAAATGCACACACAGGTACATGGCTGAATGTTGGTACATTAGTTTTGCAGTTCTTGAAATTTGAGTACTTTTTCTTGAACTCAAACGTTAATTCGACTTGATCAAGGCTTCAATTTCAAACAAAAAACACACGAACCCGTAAAAAAAGATACCACCTTTAACCCCAATAAAAATAAGATTGGACTTTTGGGCCAAATACCATTTCAAGAAATTCAAAATCGAAAACAGACGAAGCATATACCATAGATATATCAACACAGAAAAAACCAGCAAAGCCACGAGATTTACAGGAAAATTCAAAAACCCAGCTCCAGAGAGAGAGAGAGAGAGAGAGAGAGAGAGAGAGA